GGTTAGTAAATGAGAAGCACATTATAATGCAATTATTATGTGTATTCGGTGTGTGTTTAAGTCTATATGTTGAATGTATCTATCTTTTATGCACTATGCGAAACAACAATTGGTCTCATTCGATGCGTATGTTTTATGTATTTGATGTCAGCATAATGATTGCTTGCCGATTGCAATCGCTTGCCGTTTTCTCTGTCTTTCATTTGTGTAGTTGTTGGTGCTCGTAACCGTTCTGAATGAAAGGGTCAAACAATTGAATCGTCTCCCAATCGCTCCCAGTAATCGAAGCGAACAAATATATATTGATTAGATGCGGTGGTGTAATACTCCCTCTCGGATTTGCTAAATGGCATAATTTACTTTAGATGCATTTGGCTCTTTGATTCGATTTTACAATGCACACAAGAAATCCAACCACTTTCAATTGCTGCACAAATTTAACCGGCAATTCACACAATGCGAACGAAAGGTAGCATAGCTAAAAACTTTTTAATCAACTGGAATCAATAGCTCGACAAGAGAATAAAAAGTTGAATTGATACAATGCGTTTCAATACTTTTGAACTAGCGAAATAACAATGAAAATCGATGTATAGCTGATTGGTTAGCTGATTACCATCGTTTTAAATGACTCTTGGTCGGTCGCCAATGTTACGCTCTTGTGTCAACGAATGATTCATATGCGTACGTTTTTCTCTCACACTTTTTTTTTACGAACGATTCAAAGTAGAGAACCATGTTCATGTCTATTATTTTGACATTGACTTTTGCATTTATAATAAACATATTACACACCGGATACAAAAGCGTCATTCAATTTATAATTCGGAATAAATTTTGTCATTTCGGTGAGTAACGATCAAACTAAACATTTTCCACTGAGAATTTAATGTACTGAACGCATTGACACACGAACGGTTTAATACAAATTCAAATGGTGTGCATTCAAAAGCACACTGAATGGATGATGAAGAGCCGAGCATGGATTGGAGAGGGCCTTGTATGGTGTGATGAATCAGGAACATTTTCCATGTGAATAATGGATTCGATCGGGGAATATTGAGAATCCGTCAAATGCATTGAATTTGCACTTGGAAGTCAGCGAATCACTCTAAATGTGTTGGTGTGTTTGACATCGTTAGAAAGCAGGCATTCAATCAAATTAATTGATGATATGCAGTGCAACCATCGAACGGAAGCGAATGCGACGAAAGGTTTTTTTTACTTCTTTCGCTTTTTCTCTACGTCCGATGAGCAGGACGTGGAAGCCGAAATACATACAGCGCTATTTATATTTCCGTTGTGAGTGAAAAGCGTCGCCTCAGGTGTAAATACATTTCGAATATGGCATAGAAAAATCGTAGAAGAAATTCGAAAAATATGAGAGAGCACAGTATTTACATTAACACATAGGCAAATGATATATCTTCATCGTTTGCCATTAAACTAAGCTCTTTTTCGTTATAATTTTCTTACGCACATTTCCAAGTCGAAATTTCATATGGGACATGTTTTGCCGACGGCTGTCTTGACGTTTTTTTTATGATTTAATATTGCATGCGTGTATCATATATGACGGAAAAAATCCAATTCCGACCGACAAACCAAATATTAAATATTGCGCCAACGAGATAAATAACAAGACACTGTAAATAAGGCTCATATGTGCACCAAGTGAGTGGGGACACGAACACAGTATTTTTCTGCAATATTTGTAATATGAATGTTGTGTTTTCCCCGTTTTGTTGTTTTTTCCGGATCCAACGAAAAAGAAATATGTTTCACCAAACTTCATAACTTGAAAGTGCATCAATTCGAAAAGGAGCTGAGTTTTTTTTTTGCGCTCGGCTTTCGAGAAAGCCCGATGGAAAATATTTAAATATTTTAATGGTATTATACTTCAATGTGCGTATGCATTGGTATATTATGTAAATATGCACGTTTCATATATTTTTTACTTGATACATTTTATCATAATAAATGCTATCTATTTTCATATATATGCTCTTATGCACACCAGACTGCGTTCGCATTTTCGCATTTTATTTGCGCTGCGAAACGCTTTCATTGTATGCTTATCATGTTTGCTTTTTGCACAATAACGCCAACAGCGTTGAACAATAGCTACCGCCGCAATAGCACGAACTGCCGAACGACATCGACAGCAATCCAACTACCACTCTTGTTCTATCTATTCTATTGCAATGATGATCTGCGAATCTGCGAAAATCATAAATATTGAATGTGTGTCAGGGTGCCTTTTTATTTCAGCTTTCGCTCTCAGCATGTGAGCATATCCTCAATTTCATATTCACATATATGCTAAATATTTTCCATATTTCCTTTTCTATTCTTTTCGCTTTTCTCTCTGTGTGCATGTTTCTCAAAGCCATAAAAAATATCAAGATTCTATTTTCATTTCTGTTAAATATCACATGTGAAATCGCATAAAACTCGTTTACCTTTAACCTGATAAAGATTCCTTGTGGAAAAAGAAAAACAAACGAAAATACTTCAAAACGAAATATATCGAACGGAATCAGGGTAAGTATTAATCAGTCCCCCATGCCACCAAACGTGTACAAATTAAATTAAACCTTTTGATGCTAAATCGACAGCAAACATACAAACACACACGCATACATATTCGAGGAATTTTGCAAATATTTTTTTTTCATATTTGGAATTTTCTTCCCGCATATTTTCCTTTTTGTGATTGAATCAAAAACAAATCGCGTTTGGGATTTTCGCATAAGATGCGAATGAAATTGGCACAAGAGAAGTGTTGTATTTGCTCAAGAGCTTTAACGCGTTAAATGGATCAAAAGAACATTCATAACAAACATTTTTGCCATATAGCATGCGAATAAAAATTCTTACCTCGATGAACTCACAATCACAAATATACATTTATCCAAGATACAGAGCAACAAAAAATCCCATAAAACCTAAAACTCATAAACGGATATACGTATGCATTATAAAAATGGTGAAAAGTGCTTTCGCAGCGCGTTATCGTTGTTATTGTAAACTTCATGGATGCTCGCGCTTCATGTGCTAGCATATTTTTTTAGTATCGCAAATAACAACAACTTTCTTTTAAGAGTGAAAACACTTTTTCACATGCTTGAAGATTCACTTAAAAGTTGTTGAAAACCACCGAATAAAATCCACGCTCAATCGAATTTTATAATTAAAATAATATGTTTGCAGAATTGAAATCGAGGTAGAAACTCTGAATTAAAAACAATGTTGACAAAAATAAAAAATAAACATTTTTTTTTTTTTTGAGAAAAAAATGTTGGGGTTTGATTATTGATTTTATTACAGTTCAAAAATAAATTAAGCTGAATTATTTGTTTAACGTATATCAACAGACACACATGCACATGTTTCTACGTGTGAAAAGTTAAAAAATTGATTTGAAGTTCTACATTTTTATTAGAATTATTCGATTTTAATGAGAGCATATCATGGAATCTTTATCAGGTTAAAGGTAAACGAGTTGTCACTGTGCAGTTATTAGACCACTAAATTTAAACGTATTTTCACCGTTCCATGGGTGAGAGTATGTTTTGAAATTTGTTGTGGTGTGTTTTCATTCAATAACCAAAACACACTTACTGCTCTAACATTTAATTATTAAAAGTGTTTAATTACATCACTTCTTAAATTCTAATTTGGAATTTCTAAAGGATACACAATTACACATACAGTCATTAATTTTGAAAAAATAAAAAATAATGTGGTAAAAATGAGATTGATTTACCAAGCGGGAGTAACACTGTTAATGTTTGAGTAATATATGCAGTTAGATATCCAGCGAGCGTTTGGTGGTCAAATGGAAAACTATTAATACAAAAACTATTTGAAATTTACTTAATTTTTCACTGATATTATTGAACTTACGTTCCTGGATAAATTAGTAGAAATGAATCTTTCGAATTCCCAAAAAAAGTACTTGAAAAGTGACACAGAAACGAGCGGAGCGAAAAAGACATACGATAATTTCATCAATTTATACGACAGTCATTTCATCGATTTGAGGAAGGTTTCCAATTGGTCATCAGTGTTTTCGTAGATAGTTTTGCTGAAACTATTCTCAATTCCTATTGAAAATCAACGTTCAAATATGGTTTAGGCTCAACACTTTTGATATTATTGATAAAAGTAAATCTACTACTTACTAGTTGAGATAAGTGTCTCAATTTCAAATAACCATGATAATAAACTGTTTGCTATAAAGTAGGAACATTCTACACATTCACTAAACACTTGAGCTTTGCATGCAAAATACCAAACATTCGATGCAAACATCGTATTCGAAAATCCATAAAAAATGCATCTCATTATTCTGCTGTAGATTTTGGAATTCAATTGGAATATTCCCAATCGATTAAAATACTTTATCAACAAACCCAAAGATTTCATTTTTTTAAAGTTTCCGTTTTTTACTCATTTTTGCTATAATTTAGACGTCTGTTTAGTTCGAATTGTAAAATGTGACTATCAGTATTTAATCTACAAAATTTCTTTAATACCAATTTGTCACTGAATGGTTTTTTCAGCACGTGTACGTTGTGAGACTGAAATCTTAAAATCCATCTGTATTTATTCACGCAATGTTGCTAACTAACTTAAATAGTAAATAATAACTTGTGACCTGTGTTGGAACACTACGCATTGGAACATACAATTGTGTCAGGAAATATATTGAAATGGAGTAAAATCGTTTTCTAGCATTTAATTATTCAATATTTAATAACATGGCCTAGAAAAATAAGATTTGGAAATGCGGTTGCTAATAGGTAAAGATATTATAAACACCAATAAAATCCAGGTGAAATAATCTAGTTGCGAATAAGGAAAGTGTGTTTTACGATCATACCGAGTTTTTGTAATATTTGAATCCATTTCTTCCCTAAAATAACATATTTATGAAACATTCCAAAACAAAAAAATGTGCTAGTTATACTGTATAATAATGTAACACAGAAAAATTGAGTAACTTATGATCATGGTATCATTAAATGATTTTATTCAATTTCAAAAATAAACAAAACACATGAATAATATTTTCAACGTATAGCAACAGACACAAGTGCACCTAGAAACAGGTGGTAGACGTTCAAAAATAATTTTAAATTTCAAACGTACATTTCAAAAATCGCTGTGGCCGCAAAGTAGGTTAGCGAAAAAAGCTATGATACGTTCCATATGGACTGATGTTCTACGATCAGCTGTAAGCGACTCCCTCATCGACATTAAAAATTCTACCCATCTAATGCGATTCTCGTTGTAATCTCCTAGAACACATTTCACCCCACCAAGATGTTGAATTAGTAGCTGTTGTTGTTGAAATATTTTTTCCAAAAGGGGCTGTAGAGCAACCATAATTTCTTTTGCCTTGGCAGCGTCAGGTTGTTTTCGATCAAGTTTTAGAAGACGATCAAATTCTCTATTAATAAATTTCCAATAATATTGAATGCCTGCCTCTGCTGCTTCCACTGACTTCATTATTTCGTTAAATCTATTCAACAGACTTTCATATATGATTGTCATATCTTTCAGTTCTTTTTCGACTTCTCTTACATGTTCCGCGTTAATGGGATCGTGATCCCATACCTTGAACCAATTGTCAAAAACTTTGTCGTAGAAAATGGGTGGCTTAACTGCAATTTCAGAACAAACTTCTTTGCCGGCATTTGGAATGTCAACTATCTGGCTATTATTAATGGAAGTAACAGAATGTTCAATAAAACCTCTAGCATTTATCTCAGCCGGCTCAAACACGTTAACTGTTAAGTCATTTGGAATTCTTCTTAAAAGATCTCTCAGTTTTTTGCTATTCATAAACTCTTTTCGTGGAGCTTCAAGTTTCTTTTTGAGCTTGTCAACGGTGTTTGAAATTTGGACTATGAACAGTAACCTTGATCCCATATTGAAACCTTTTTTGGCCGCTTTTTTATTAAATTTGTCCACAAAGTTTGAGAATGTTAGATCCTGTTCACTGTTGATCAACTTGATACGAAAAATAGGTTGGAGTACGATTTTGAATTTATTTAGTATTTTCAGTTAATCTATCATACCTGAATAAATAGCAAAAGAAACACAATCGTCCAAATTATAGATGACTTCATTTTTTTCTTATTTTGAAGTGCCAAGTTGGCCAACTCAGAGAAGTTATAATAAATGAATACGAAAACATTCTCTTTTATACATGATTCTCTTACGTCATTTGAAACGATATACACGTGGAAATAAAAAAACTGAAAATTCCAAAATAATATTTTCATCCCGTAAGATACATCCACGCTTAAAATTAAGCGCTTGCGCTTCTTTTTTGTTCCATTCGCAAAATATCGTTTTTGTGTGTTCGTTTTTGTGTGGATCTTCTTCAAAACATAAACGAAGAACGACCGCACAAAAACGATATTTTGTATGAAAACTAGATAGACTAGATAATGCTGTAAAATATAAAACTATTTCACGGGATATTAGAATTAATTAAAGTGACACATTTCAAATGATGTTATCAAAAATATTGAAAGAAAAGATGCTACGTTATACAGTAGGAGAGCAGTGTATCATATAGTAATAGTATCCATATTATTTATGGGATTAAAGTTTCAAGATCGAAGACATCAATTAAAAACTGTATCAAAATGAAAAATATTTGTTGAAGGTAAAATGATTGTTTTTAAATTTTATTATTTATATTATAAACTATTATAACTTTATTATATATATTATAATAACTGAATTCGTCAACGTGGAGCAGCAGACACATGACGAAAATTAAAAAACAATTTTAAATTTGAAATAGTACATTTCTGCTAAAGCTACTGCTTAGTATGGGGAATAAGACATGTTATCTTACTAGTATTTGGAAAATAGTCTGTGATACGTGACACACTCATCGATTCTGTTCGTTCTGATGTATGTGTCTCTCGCATTGCCATCGCAAATTCAACACATGCGATGCGATTTCGATTATACTCTGCTAAAATATTTTTCAGACCTTCAAGGTTTTCAATGACTAGATTTTGTTGTTTAAATAGTGTGTCCAGAGTTGGTTGTAAGCTAACAATAATTTCCTTTGCCTTGTCAGCGTCATGTTTTTTCGAATCAAGTTTCAAAAGTTTACCAAATTCCGTATTAATAATTCCTAAATATTTTTGAACGCCAGCCTCTGATTCTTCCATTGATTTCAATATTTCGTTGAATCTTTTGGATCATATTCCCATACTTTGCTCCATTTTTCAAGAACTTTATCGTACCGTATGGATGGTCTGAATGAAATCTCGGATCGAACTTTGTTCTTGGCATTCGGTATATTGACTTTTAGTGCGCGATTTATTAAAGTAACTGAGTTTTGAATGACTTCGCGTGCATTTGCCTCAATGGGATCAAAAACCATAACTGTCAAGTCACTTGGAATTCTTAGTATTATTTGTTCCAGCTTTTTGTTATTCATAAATTCGTGAGCACGAACTTCAAGTTTTTTGTTAACTTTGTCAATGGTGTTAGAAAATTGGACAACGAAATCCAACGACGATCCCACATTGACTTCATTTTTAAGCGCCTTTTTCTTAAATTTCTCCACAAAACTAGAGAGTATCGAATCTTTTCTACAGTCGATCAACTTAATTATAAAGAAAATGTTGAGTTAATTTTGAGCCGTTTGATGAGTATTTTAATTTTTCAAACCTGAACAAACAGCAAAACTGATGCGCACGTCCAAATTGTAGACGACTTCATTTTCATTGTAAGTGCCAACTCAGAGTATTGAAAATTTTATGAAAAAAAACAAAAGCATTTTTTCTTTATATACATCATGCTCGCAGCTTGATCGAAAATATATCGACTTATAATGCAATAATAAACATGTGCAAATATCAGCCAAACAGCTCGTGAAAATTATAATTTAATGCATTTTTCAAATTGTGGAATTTCTAATAAGCTTAACTTTGGTGAACATGAAAATAAAGTGTGTTTTTTAATACTTTTTTCAGCCGTCGTTTCTTCATAAAAAAGTCGAATTTGCTTATTATCTTATTAATTATGCGATAAATTAAAGTATATAAAGTGCTTTGCAAAGTTGTTGTCAGTTATTGTTCTCTTTTCAACACAAGTTTAAAGTCGAAAATAAAAGAAAATGAAGCAGTGTGCAATTTTGATGCTTTTGTCACTTTTACTAGTTGTACAGGTATAAGGGAAGTTGAAAAAAACTCTTTAATTGTGTTTTAAAATTTTGTATTTTCTCTATCAAGTAGATCGATTGTAAGGACGTGACATGTTCAACATTTCTGGATCAATTTTATGCAAAAGCATCCAAACAAGGATTCGATTTTCGACCACGATTGAGTGTAATATTAGGAATTACCAACGACTCCAAAAGAATTATAAAAAAATGCCAAGCTCCTATAAAAGAGTTTGTCGATCATACAAAATTACTTCGACTACAAAATACAATTGGGCTTTTAAAACATCACATTGTTAAAGCTTACGAAAAAACAATAGAAACGCGATTTTTATATGATGATATTATCAGAGAATTGGAATTTAAATTGCCGATTAAAACTGATAAAATTTTCAGAAAATCATATGAAAAATGGGAGAAAGATTCAGAAATTGACAAGTCACGCTTGGAATTCGTTAATAATACGATAGGTGCAATGGCATTGGACTATTCTGAATTGCATAAAGGGTTCAAGGAACATCTTGAAGCAGCAGACCAAACAAAAGTAATTGTGGAAAAATACTTTGATTCCGCCAATACGTCATTCGATACCTTTTTAAATATTACACCAGACACCAAAAATAAAAAATGCATTATTTGGGAAGTGGCGAAAATCATTCTAGCTATTCAGAAAGAGCAGGATCAGTTGTTAGTGCATCTTGAAAGTATGAAGAATATTCTAAGGGTATATAACGAACAACGGCTGATATTCATTGAGTATATTATGGGTATGCGCGAGTCGCTTATAGCGGGACGGGATGAAGTCGAATTTTTTTTATTTTAAAAGCAGATGAATGCCACACCGCATAAAGTTTCAATCAAAAGTGTAATTGGTTTTTTGAAGAAAAAATCGTTTTTGTTTTATTCAAAATAATGAAAATAAAAAAAATTGCCTTTGAATGAGAAAATGTATTCATTTGGTTTATTTTCAAAACTTCTACCCCCGTTATAAAACAATTCTGACCTTTAAAATCTTTCTTTCAAAAATCACAAGAAAGAAGATTAGCAAAAAAGCGCAAAATGTGATCCACGTTCACTGTTCCTCGTTCTGATTCCAGCGATTCTGTCATTAGAAATTCTGCCCATCTGATGCGATGTCTGTTAGATCATTTCTGACATTTTCAAGGGCTCGAAACACAACGCCCTGATTTTGAAAAGGGGCTGAACACCTACAACAATTTCTTTGGCATTTCACAAAATTTCACAATTTGCTGCTGAACCAACTTCGAATTTATCGAAACGTTTGTGGAAAGAGTCATGGTAATTCTTTAGAGATTTGTCTGAGTTGCTCTGCATTAATGGTATCTTTAACCCATGGTAAGTCTTCATAGACGTATCTTACCGGAACACGTTAATTAACATTAATAGGATTCTTATCCCATACTTTATACCAATCATCGAATACCTTATCTTTCTTAATTGGCGGATTAAATGCAAGTTCTGTGCATATTTCTTGGCTCACATCGTTTGTTTTAACTATTAAGTATTTTGGTATTACTTCCAGAACTTTGTGCCATCTTTCTATTTCCATAAAATCCTTTGTCGGAACTTCAAGATTCTTTTTTAAGCTCGTCAGTATTGTTGGAAATCTAGATAATAAAAGGCAAATTTGTCCCAATCTCGATTCCTTTTTCAGACGCTTTTCTATTAAATTTCTCGACAAAGTGCGAAAATGTAAGATCCTCTTCACTATTTATCAACTTGGTAGGAGAACAATAGACAAAATGGGTTCAATATATTAGATATCTTTGATCGTTTTCGATCTTACATACTTGAAAAAATAGCAAAATAGACGCGAACGTCAAACACAAAAGTATCTTCATCTTTTATCCCAAGGTTTTAACTCAGATTCTGTTTTTTAAAAAACGGCAGTATTCTCCTCTATTTATCCAAGTCAACGATTAAACTAAGACATCATTTGAATTTCATGCGTCATACACAATATGGATCTTATTTTGAATAGTAACGATAATTTAACTTGATCAAATATGCTGAATTCTCGCAGTCAAAAACAATATCGCGGTGTCACCGTACCAATTTTCACATTCAAATTCGTTCGAGGTGATCGATTAAAAAATTTAATTAAATTTGTTTTTAAGTAAGTTCACAATACGTTCAATAAAACAATAACAATTCATAATAATAATATAATCATTACAAACATTTCTCTTCACACAAATTTATTTTATTTTCATTTATTTATTCACCGTCTGATGACAGACTGAATTTATCGAAGTTATATCACATTATATCACAAATAAATGGGATTTTGAATGTTTGTGTGCGCCAACCAATGTATAAAATACACTGTAGGATTATCATAAGTTCTCATTCTCTTCTGTGTTCAAGTCTGAATCAAGTGATATCCTAAATGAAGCTGTTTATATCAATTCTGACACTTTTGTCTTTTTTGCTAATTGGTCAGGTATGGAGAATATTTTGAAACATTCTTTATTCATTTTGCAAAATTTTTAATTAACTCGGTTTCGCAGATCGATTGTAATGATGTGTCATTTTCAACAATTGTGGACCAATTTTATAGAAAGGCGTCTAAAAAAGGATTCGATTTGCAACCGAATTTGAGTTTTATAGTCAGATTTCCCTATTACAAAAGAATCCTAGGAAAATGCAATGCACCTGTGAAGGAATTTCTCGATCATACTAAGTTCCTTCGAATACAGAACACCTTACCGTCTTTGAAAAAAGACATTGTTTTAATTTACAATAATACAATAAGAACACGTTCTTTATACGATAAAATTATCAGAGCATTAGAATTCAAATTGCCGATCGAAAGCGATAAAATTCTTAAAAAATCGTATGAAAAATGGGAGAAAGATCCAGACATTGACATGGCAATTTTGAACGAAATAAAAAACTCGATGATTGCTACACAATTGGAATGTTCGGTATATATTGAAAGGTGTAGAGAACACATGAACGCAGCCGATAAAATAAAACTTAATGTTGAAGAATTCTTTGACTCAGCTAATACTTCATTTGATAATATTTTCACACAAAATTCAACCACTCTTAATAATGCAAAACACATTGTTCAAGAAGCAGGAAAAATATTGGCTTCGATTAAGAAAGAACAGAACAAGTTGTTTATAATGCTTTACAAAGTGATATTTATTTTATCATTTTATAACGATCTACGGATGACGTACGTTGAGTACATAGTGGGATTGAGAGATTCAATTACATCGGAAATTCGAAACGAATATGAAGAAATCCATTTCTAAGTGTGGTGAAGTGCAACGATGAAATATTAACAAAGTGCATAATTCAAGTGAACATTTTGAATTATGTTCATTTCAAATTTAAAAAATTGAATTTCTACAAAAAATTGATTGGAATAAATGACTCCTTCTTTGTATATTTTCCATACTAATCGAATATTTTATTGAAATTCATTGATTCTTTTTACAGCCTCAGTTCTCACACAACAAATACCAGCGCAACAATTATTGAGAAAAAGTATGATTGACAATAATTTTTATTTCTATCTACAAATGAAGAGTCGGTCGTGAATGACATTTTATTTTCCACAAGAGCCTAAATGTTTATTCCATGACTATCGTGTGATTGTCTCTCAATTCTGAATTAAATATAAGGCAAAATGTGAAAGATAATTTCAGTAAAGCCAAGACTTGAAAGACTTCAATAGGATCTAAAATAATTCATAAAACGACCTCAATCATCCTGCTATCTGCCGAATCCTCAACTTTCGTATTTTATGCAATAACCTTTTTTCCATACACTTCCAATGTAGTTATATCTCTGTTCTGCAGCAACTTCAAAAACTTCACTGCATGAAATTAAATCAATTGACGTTGAACTTATCGCAAAGCCAAACTTTTGTTGGTTGGTTTAATTTTATGAAATTATAGAGAATCTTTTTTGCTCTTAACTTTTTTTTTCTATCAATGGTTGGTGTAAAATGTGATGGTCACTTAATCATGCTGATATCCTGAAGATGAAACAAACCGCAATGGAGAGGAAAAAAACGGGGTCGAGTGTTTTTGAAATGTCGGAGTGTGTTGTATGTGTGAGAGAGTAAGATTAAATTTGTTGTTCATGATTCAAAGGGGCTATAAGCAAATTTAAAGCAATTTCTGGCATAATATCAAGAGCATATAAAATGGTTTGCCCTAGAAAAAAAAAACTATTTTCACATCAACTATTCATGGCTGTAATCTAATCCGGCCGGACTCTTGCAAAACGTGAGAAAGGGCACAATCGACATTGCCTCTAGTTGATTTTTGCATGATGAATTTTGCACATCACACAAGAAAATATGATAAAAAAACCTTTCTTATTTTGCCATTTTTTGTTTCGTATAAAAAGCATTTATGTCACGAAATAGAAAATAAAATGAGCAGCTTTCAGAAATCGTGTATCATAGAATGGTAGTGGTAGAACTATAAAATATTCCACGTATCACAAAAATAGACTGCAAAAACATTTAAAACGTTTAAAATTGTAATTAAACAATACGGAAGTTTTGCTCATCACCATTGTTCTGAATAATTCGTGAGCGGAGGGGTTGTACTAACTGCCGGTTCCGTTCTTAGGTCGCATTTTTCTCATTCACTCAGATTTTGAACTGTGCCCAACAGAAATGTCTTCTTTTTTTTGTTACATCAAAGCATGCTCGTCCATTTCGCATTCTGAGTTGATGTATTTTGTTGAGTTTATGTTTCTGTTTCGAGCATTTCACTGCAAACAAAAACATTTTGCCAAGCAAATAAACAGAGACAGAGAAAAAGAGCGGGCGATAGAGAGAAATATGGCAAAAGAGCACAAAATGTATTCAGAAAATTTTCTGATAAATAAATATTACATTCGCATTATGCAGATTTGAATATTTAAACAGAATTTAGTTGAAAAAGCACGTAAATAACTGAGCTGTGTATGTCTGCGCAGGCTAGAGCACAGATTTATGGATGACGGTACTGTTCGATGTTGAGAAATGTTCCTTTGACGAAAACACGTCCGATGCGTCAACTGAAGTAACTGATGTTACAAGCTTAGGTATTTTGAAGGTTTGTTAAAATTTCATTAAAATTGAAAGTTGGTGAAATGGAAAACAGTTACTCTCTTGAGTTTTAGCCTTTTTGACAATCATCCTTCAGTTATGCATAATATCGTTGATCGCAAGCTCCGGATGGATATAGAATGAAAGATTAAAAATTCACGGAATGTATTAGGCAATCATCGTTGAATATGAAGCACGTTTCAAGAGTGAAAAGAGTTGAAAAGGCGATGTTTTCAAGCGCACCATAGTTTATATACGTTTTGTGTAAAACGAACAAAAGCAGTTCAAGTGAGTTACTTTATTAGAAATGATCGGACGCAATGTGATGGGAGGAGAAAAAAAAACAGAATTAAAGGGATTTAAATGAAATTTATCTGTTGGTTAGTTGGTTGCTGTGCATGTTGGTGTTGGTGTGTGTGTATGTTTGGTACCGGAACAAGTGTGATGGACGTTTGCATGAAGTGTCATTCAGTCACGTCGTAATTCTTCGCTTTTTCCAATCTGCTCTCGCTCTCGTTACAGCATCTATACGTGATGGTTTGCGTAATTCCCTCGCTCTCGTTCTCCCATTTTCACTCGCCTCAATCGTTCTCACTGAGTGAGAGATAGATAGAGAGAGTTTAAGTGCGTTCAGTTATTACGAGTTTCAAGAATCAGGTACTTAATGTCAACGTCCATATGGGCCAATTGTGTTTTACACAGTGTTTTTAGCTCTCTCTATCTCTCTTTTTCGTTCACAGTTGGTGCCGTTGCCGTTCATTCTTATATTAGTTTGTATGGTCAAAGCGTTTGACCCAATTGCTTGTGTCAGTATTTAAATGAAGCTGCACAGCATTGTTTAGAAAAACACATGTCAGTTCGAAAACGATATTAACGAGCACTGAGCACTTTCGATACCCATTTGTAGGGGTGGTGGTGGTGGTGCTACTCGACTTGCATATTATTTATTTTGATGGATCAACAACCGACAGTATATTTGCAAGGTGTGCCAAAATCAACAACAGCAACAACAATAAAAAAAACCTCTCCAGATTCAATATTTCACACTTCAAAATGCACACTATAGTATTGAGTGAGTTATGCAATTCAAGGATCTTATCTCACATCGAGCGAGATAAATCCCCAAAGAGACGAGCCAAGGGGTTTTCGGCCAAGGAAATGAAGTGAGTATGTGTGTGGATGTTTGTTTCTGAATCCCATTTATCAATGCCATTAGTTACAGAATGCACATTCTGTATGTGATAAATTTTGAATATGTGCTCTGTAGAGAGAGAGAGAGAGAGAGAGAGAGAGAGAGAGAGAGATTGAGAGGGGTATTAAAGAGAAAGCTCAATTTTATTTATGAGATTTGGTCTCGTTCAATGATATAATTCTTAATGACAAAAACATGTGTAAATTGAATCTATACTATATGATTCTTGAGCCATACCTTTTTCGTGCCATTCACATATATATACAAAAAAAATACGTTATGTAAGCTAAATGACCACTTTTGAACCCCTTCACATTCAGTCCATAATCGCAACGAGATTGAAAGAATTGAGCACAATTAATAGAAATGAATTCAATAAGCTCTGACCATTTCACCCTCATATATTCAAGCGATTTTCAAATAATAGTTGCATAATTTTCATTGTCATTGGAGTTTTTTTTCGCTTTTGCTCTTTCTCCCTCACTTCATGCACTCTTCATTTCTCTCATTTCGAAAACAATGACATTGAATAAAAACGGCAACAGCCATTATGCGTTAGCAATTGTGCAAAATGCATGCATATAATAATAAACCCTGTAAAGAGAGATACTTTTGCATTAAAAATAATTTCCTCTCTATTTGACTGTTTACGTCTGCATCGTTATTTTTTTCCTTCATTTTTTTTTTCACTCTTCATCTCCCTTTTTCTGAGAAATGTGCCTTAATTGCAAGCTTTTGTGCTCATAATTTGCCTGTAAACGAAGTTGAGTGCACTTTCAGTTCATGTTGTTTGTATTAAAATAATAATAAGTACAAGTACAATAGAGTGTGTGTGTGTGTGTGCACTGTGTACGCTCGAAGCGCCTGCCACATTGCTTCGACTGTTGATGTTTGTTGCTCGACGCTTTCGTCCCATTTGATGAGGTGGATTTGCTGTATACGACAAATATAGAAAATTTATGTATATATACTGTGTTATTCTATACTTAAAAAAAAAGAAATTCCCTTTTCGTCATCGCCCGACCGTTCATTTATTCATTCATACATGCGGCACGGGCTCAGTATACTACAACAGGACCGGAATGACGACGAAACAGGAAAACCTTTTCCCATTTTGAAAAATGCATACGCTTGCTTATTCGGTATCTCTCTCTCGTCGCACTGGAAATTGAATAGATTTGTGTCGTTCCGCACAATATACATACGGTGAGAATGATATGGAAGTATATGACAATTTTTTTTTAAATGACAAAGCACTTTTCTGATGCACACAAGGCGAAAAGGTATTAGTACAAAAGCGAGCAAAAAAATGCGAAGGGTTAGAAAGACTTTGTCAAGTTATGAAAAATAATCACGATATTCTGATGACTAAATTAATATTATGAATGATTTTGATGTGAACGATTGTTGTCTTTCACATGCCTTTAATTATGATTTCGTTCAACCAGGTTTTCATTCGAGAGTGGATATCGCTGATGTCATTCACAACAAATACGCCACCGCAGCACTGACTCATTTGTTTAATTTGGGTTTTGTCTTTATTTCTATTGTGTGTTTTTTCTCCGTCTCCCTCTTCCTTGGTCTCTCTCTCTCTCTCTCTCTCTCTCTCTCTCTCTTCATCGTCCTTACATTCAATGGTCTTAAGCCATGTCATTTGAATGAATAATCACATTGAATTCTCTTGCTTCATCACAAACACAATGGAAAATGTTAAAATAAAAACGCAAGTTTTTACCTGCCGGAAAAAATTACGGATCGTTCTACCTCGTTGACACCATCAAAAACCACGGCGATTATCATAATTAATGAGAATGCGACAATTGTAGATTATTATGCATGAATCAATATCACAAAATGTAAAGAATAAGGAAATGGAAAGACATTAATAGTTTCCTGAAATAAATTCCATTTGGTGTTGAAAATAAAACAATAGTTTACTTTAATTGCAGAGGGCCATCAAAATGGTTTTTAGGTCATGACAAAGGGTAATACTTACGCTTGAACAGTAATTTTTATTTGAACAGCATTCAAACGAAACAATAACATTTATAAAACACTTACCACTCCTGATGACACCTTCATTATTCTAATGTTTTATGAATTGTCGTTTTTTGTCAAACTTTTTTAATGAATAACAAATAAAAGCGTCGAGCAATTGTTATTAATCGCAGTATGCATAGTTTTTTTATTATTAAACTTTTGAAAATATTTTATTACAATAAATTAGTTAATAGTTCGTATTATGTACAATTGTAGAACTAAGCGATAATGTTTAAATGAAAAAAAAAAGGATTTTCATCATTTGCGGTTGGGAAATGATTCATCTGAAAATCCATCCGGCTAAACAATTAAAATACATAGTTAAATACATTTGGTACACGTGTTTCATGCGCGTGTATGTATATTCAGTCTGTAAAATAGATTGGCAGTTTCGGTTTGAGGGAAAAAGAAAATTTGGTTGATTTTAGCATGGGTTAAAAGTAAGGCTCACAGTTTTTAGCTAGGTTATTTTAATGGTACATTCATTTAATATAATTTTTTGGTACGGAAATGATATTTTACGTATTTCATTTTTGTCCATTACTGGGTTTTTCTATACAAATAAGTTTTGTAAACGTTATGCAACGTACTTTTCATTTGCTTTTGTGTATGTGTGACTGATAACATAAACAACATGTGGTGTGAATATTGTGCATTGCCTATATAAATATATTTTATTGGCTATATTACCGATCGCAATTCATTTGCGCCATGCAGTTTTTATTTTGTTCACAATTTATGCTCTGTTCATTATTCATTGCACTCACATCAATCATTACGCTCTGTGTAATGTGTAAATATGCCGTGTGTGTGTTCTATTGTTTTTTTCCACTTGCCATTCATTTCTCTTCTTTCGTTTTATATATTATAGCCTATGTTTCTGTGATTTTTCATATATTATTAATCAATTAATGTTGATGTTTTAATGTGATAATTTATGACAATGATTTTTTCGTAATTTTATGCTAATAAACGGAAATATTGCGCTTATTTTTTTTTAATGCTGCGTATGTTGACGTATTCATGATTGATAATCCCGCTATCGTTAAATATCCTAATTTGTTTTCTACGGCGTTTGACATCTTTACGCACATATACTCTATCTATTTCGGCAGATGTGCCTAAAACACCCGGTTCGATATATCGAAAATGCATGGTGCGCCAGATGAGTTCAAAAGACTCATTGTTGAATGGCAAAATTTTAAAATGTGGCGCACACAAATATCGACCGAAAAATAATTGTCGGCAGTCCATCAAAATCGTGGCATAAATTAAGCCAGAGGTCAATTTTGGATTGGAAAACTTTCAAATTATTCATGACAACACACTTGATTCGAACTGTTCGGAGTTTGATGGTGGCTAGAATTCAAAGCTTTTTACATTTCTCGCGTCCCCCCCCCCCAACAAGTAACGCAAGCAGTGATTCCCTATTTTTCACTTCATTCACCATATGAAAGAACAATTCACCGTTTTGCATACGTTGATAGAGGTATAGATAGATACAATTTAACCATACGCTCAATCAGATATGCACAGATGAATTATTAATTTGTAAATGATTTCAATTTGCTGTTTGTGCAAAATCCCGCTTTTATTATAATTTTATAATATATTTTTCGTTTCGGATGGAAAACGACCAAACGACCGTAGTACAAGCACATATGTATTGATGGAAAACGTATATTTACTTTATAATTGATTCATGTGTATTCGAAATGCTGAATGCAATGAAAACGACTGTGTGTGAATGAAATTTTTTAGAAGCAAAAATATAAAAGAGTGGAATTATGCCGTTTATGCCATGAGTATTTGTTAAATCTTTACACGAACGGGAATATTGTACATATAAAATAGGGGCGCGTGTGTATGTCCGTGCGTTATATGTGCTGCTCAATTGTTGTGATTATCTATAATTTTACTTTGATTTTGCGAATACATTTCTTCGTTGGATTTTCGAGTGTAAAATTATGCGTGAATATCTACGGATTTTTTCATTCACCGAACCAAGTGGAAGCTATTATATTTTGTGTACATTGAAATTGAGGCTACGAATTTTTTTCCCCAAAAAAAAAAATGTAAACAATACCACGTATATTACCATTTTTTCGAGCGGAAAGACAAGCGACTATAGTCGATCATATGCAAGCAGACACAATGAATATATTATGAAAATTATTGTAAAATAATTGATGAATCGACAATTTTCCATCGATAACACTTTCATTCCATCCATCGATACCCACAGCCGCAATCGAAAATTGAATTCAATTAATTCAATTCGGTCGCCTACTCAATTGGTGGACGGTTTTTTTTGTGCGAGACGGAAATATTGCTGAAGACCAACGGCGATAAACAATTCCATGGCAAAAACTTTTTTTTTACTTTCAAACAATTTGTGAAATTAACGAGAAATTTCTCTGATTGGATTGGATCATGGTTTTTTTTGGTGCTAAATAACAAAACGACTCATTTTACCATGACTTGAAATGAATTTCAAGCATTCGATGCGAATGGATGAAAATTAAAATGTGTAAAACTTCAGTCGCTTTAAATTCGAAATCCTAGCTCAACAGAAGCATTTAATTTTGAGGGTGGAATGATGAAGTTTGTGAAAAAAAAATCAATGCAAATATATTCAAAATTTAATGAAATGAATTGAAAGCGAAAAACCAAAACAAAAGAAGTGAGAAAAAGGGATGAAAACCCTCAATTTGTGAAAATTAAAAAGATATTTCGATCTTTCGTTCGAAAATTCATAAAACTATTTTCCATTCAACGATTCAATGTGCATAAATTTTCATTGTATGGTTTTTGGCCATTTCCATCCATTCGATTTTCTATCAAAACTATTTTTTTCGGTTCTTCAGAATTGGTATTTGTTGTTGTATGACTCGATTGCAAGCTGTCGCCAATATCTCAGAAGCACAAGTTTCCTATGAATGGTTCTCGGTTATAATTCAAAAGTTTTGGATGAACAAGCAAAAAAAAAGGAGAACGACGTTCATAAATTAAACGATGAGAAGAATTACGTGGTTAGCGTTCGCATAGAAAACTATTGAAATATGATCCAATGGAATTTCTTTTGTCTTTTGCCAATGAAAGCAAATTCTCCGATGGGATTCGAACTTCAAATTGGGAGTTAATTTCGAATGATCTATTTTTATTGTTTTTTTTTGTCGTCGTCATCTTGGCATCGCTTTTCGATTTCCATGAATACTTAATGGCAGTTAATATATGGCAGCATCCAACGCATTTCGGTCGATACATGCGATATTTCGAATCGGGATTGTGAGTGCATATTTTACGAAAATGTGACGTTGATGCCGTTTTAGTATGTGGCAAAATGGAATATCATACATTTATAAATACACATTATTTACGTCGTAAATGGATAATATATATATAACATACTTACTTGCTACGATTTGCGCGCACGAAAATTGTTGAATGATATCATCATATGTGTGTATTAGAGTAAAACTGTTGTTGCCATTCTTTCTTTTTCCCATGTATGTTAGCATGTTTTGTATCTTTGTATGTATCTCTTTTCAATATAGTCACTTATTTTATATGTAAATTTACGGATTAAACGATATAATTTGCATGCCAATTTCTCTCTTGTCAATGCTATTTCGGCTGGGTTCTTTTTTTTCTCTTCCATTTCTCAGCACATTTTCAACTCTATTTACACATTATCGGCTCGGCCGAAACTGCTCAAATGGATTTGATTCGATGGTGTTAAATTGTTGATATTATTGGTGCTATTATTTAAATTAGGGCTATTTATACTATTATTGCTAGCGTTTAACTTAAATTTATTTGTGCTAGAATTATTGGCCATTGTCGCAACTGCAGCATTGGCTGATGGCTGTGTCAACGATGATGATGCTGCAAGCGACATATTTGATGATGTCGAAAAGTGGTGATATGCTGAATTTTGTACCGAAGTCCAACTACCGTCTTCTTTCGATTTTATGAATAACGGTTGCTCAATACCCCGACCATTGTCACAACCGCCGAAATTTATTTTATCACAATGACCGCTTTTTGGCAATCGATTTCGTCGCATTGTTCCTAATGGTGAACGGCATTCAATGAAATAATCAATATTATTTGTAAAAATCGGAATGTTTTAAATTTATGACATCAAATGGAGTGAGACTACATCTGACTAACTATATCTGAATAAAAAATCTCCATATCTAATAACTGTAACGAACTCCCTTTTCACTTTCAGAACAAATTAATATTTTTGCCTCTAAGCTTGAGTCAAATCAGCTTCGGTGTCAAAATTCTCAAAGATTTCAAATACTGACTAAGGTTCTAATCGTAAATTTCTCTCGAGAAATGGGCTTAATTTCATCTACAATATTCATTCATAAGATGTAAACACTTACCAATGAGTGGTGTTGAGGGAACGCTCTTGATGCTGACCATTGTTGTGTCAGTTGCTACTGATGAGATGGCCGGCGATCCTGTGGCTGCTGCTACCGACGATGATGAACGGTTTAAATTATTTATGGCGTCCATTTTATTTTCAATGATGTTCATTTTTGGTGTTGTGGTTTTGCCATTTGCTGCAAAATGTGTGTCCGAATGCATGAAATTGCGACCACCAGTTCCACCATTACCAATACTACCACCACCACCGCCGCCGCCGCCACCATTTGGTTCGTTGTTGGCATTGTAATGGAAAACATTTGCTGCTGAATAGACGCTATTGTTTTTGCCCGCATTTGGATAATGTGGACTTGTGAATAGGTTCACATTGCGGACTAGATTTGTTGTTGCATACGCTCCAAAACTGTCGTACAGTGGTGATTGTGTATTTTTAAATGTTGAACATCCAGCCACTTCAGCATAATCGGGCATATTTAACGGTGACAAACTACATACGCACAATCCAAAATAGCGTACAAAGTGAGCGAGAAGAAATGCATGGAAAAATAGGAAAGAGAATGGAATCATGTTAAAATTAAAGGCAAGAAGAGAAAAACCATGCATTGATTTTTAATGTGTTCGTTATTTTTGGAGGCCAAAAAGTGCGAGCATCGCATTCACATTCACACAATTTTACCACATGGAAGTAAATACGATGCCTGTTACAATTTGATTTATATGAAACGTAACGAACATAAATCTCACAACACAAAACGAGAACCGTTCCATGTTTCGCATGTGTGAATGGCATCAAAATATTTCAGACAAGCACACTTTATCGTCCTATCTCTGTCTCTCTTCTCGTAATACAATCCATTATTACGCACGCAATGAACTAAATTCCTTTGCTGGGCAAAGTTTCAAACATTTCAAACACCGAAACCGCCGCAGTCATCTCAAACTCTCAGCCATTCGATATAAATTAAAATTAATTAAATCCGATCTATATATGCTCATGTGGAAAAGTTGTCGTTGTTTTTTCCATGTCAACGCAAAATTGATGTTTATAGTTGAAGAACGTTGTACAAGTTTAACTTTAAGCTCAAATGTCCCAGCTCGGGGAATTGAATTCGGTAGAGAAAATAAACGAGCGAGTTACCACGAGAGAAAAAGCGAGACAGAGAGTGCGAAAGCGATCGACGAAAACAAAATTTGCTTAACAAACTTGAAAAGTTAAATGTGTCAAATTTCATCTCAAATTATCACTTTGCGTGAAATTACGTTTCGGGATAAATTCATTGATGCTAATCAAATTAAATTGTATTTTGTGAGTGTGTATTTTGATTTTTGACGTTTGACAATTTTGACGGCCAACATTTCTGACAATCAAAATATACGAATAAGCTTACCGTTCATAGTCTGGAAGTGGAAGTGTTGGTGCAGTCGACGAAACTTGTGCGTAATCGGCAATACCATCCTTTGTAACAGCTGCAGCTTGACGCCATACACCTCCGGCTGGATCGATCCAAACGCCATTCGAATTCAATGGCAATGTCGGGAATTTCCTCACCGTTCCGATTGCGTGATTTCCTATAATTGAATCAGATTTAATGTTACGATTGTTTTCTTTTTACTCGGAAAATTGAACAAAATGAAAGACATTCTTGATATAACTTTCTTCATCTATACAGGCTGGCAAATGTGCCATTGCAATTTTTCTTCAGAAAGCTATGTGCTCACATATGTCGGCTTGAAAACAGAAATAATCGCTTTTTTATTGTTCACAATCGTTTGATAATGACTTTGGGAAATCTGCACATTCACAATTTCTTTATTTCATTCGTTTGCTTTTTATTTATTCATTTATTGCAGGGCATGCTTTCTAAATAGAAACGTTTAGTAAATACCACATACATATATGTACGTATTCATAAAGGTATTTGTGCGCGCTGAATGTAAGCTCACAAATTGAGCGTAGAAAACGAGCAAAACCCCAAAGGAAAAAAAAATCAACGCGCACACATATGCTTTATATTCGACTGTCACGAATGACGGTGCATAAAAGTAGAAAGAGAATGATGTTTTAGAAAAAATGGAAGTGGTTACAAAAATGCGTGGTTTGAACGAGTAAACAAGCACATAAACATCAACGCGAAACGTCTATCACATTTTGCTTGTCTGACAAACAATTACATTCGCAACGCAGCTTTTCCATCGAGTTGATGTACATTATTATTTAAAAAAAAAATCATCATGTTTATTAACCATGACTAATATTTATCATATTTTCCGTTTGATATATAGTATAATAATGAAATAACAGGCATGGAAGAGCTTGGATCATGAGCGTGTGCGCGCATTTCATGACTCTTTCCGCAAATGTTTGAGTTCCGGTGCGCAAAAACAACGAAAATTACCGAATGTGGTTGTTTGGTGGGTTGTATGCATTCATCGCAAATTATATGTAACATTAAACTTGAGCCCACAAACCAGCGTAATCATTCTAATCGATTTTTTTTCTTTTGCTTTGCATTACGACTCGCGGAAAATTCATTTTGACATGTATGTGAGCGGCGAATCAAAACAAAAACGATACGATAGCAAAGTTCCTCACATAAATCGTATGCGATCACAAAAACGATGATTTTTATTGCTGAACACATTAATTACCCATAAAAATGATAAATAATAATTTTCTTTGTCATTTTTGCGTTACGATAGAAAAATTCGTTCGACGTAAAAGACAGAGAAGAAAAAATCCATTTGCAAAGGGGAAAACCGCTCAAAAGACAACATGCACTTGAGCGTATATGAATACGTACCGTGAATATTTGTTAGCGACGTTTGTTTGATGAATTGGATTCGTTTGATAAGCACCATTGCCACGAATGAAAATATAATAATGGCTATAATCGAGCCGAGCATTACGATGAACCAGGTTTGTGTTAGAATATCGTCGGCCAAGTTGTGATTTATTGGATGCCTGTTCAAAATGGAGAGAAAACAGAGAATATATATAGCAATTTTTTTTTCGGAGATATATTTTGTGGGGGAGGAGAAAAGTGATACGGCATTTAATGATTTTTGCCTCTATGCGGGCAAAATGTTCATTGTCCATACAGAATGGAGAAAAAAAAGAGGAAAAAAGTGTCTTACCGTGTGTATTCCTGATCTAATTTATTGGTATGTGGATCTAATCGCAAAACTGCTGGTTTGCTATAGACACCGATTCCGATGCGAGTGGCTGCTGCTATCGAAACTGAATATGTAACGCCAGTTGTTAGATTTGCCAGCATCAAACTCGGTGACGTTGCTTCGACAGACATATTTGCAAGAATTTTCGATACGTTGCCAGCATCAAAACCGCGAATGATTATTTGATAGTACAGTAAAACACCATTAATACTATCCTCGGGCGGTGGTTGCCATTTCAAAAAGATGGCCGTTGCATTCAATAGTGAGGCTTCCATATCAATTGGTGGTTCCGTCGGTACTAATTTATAGAAGAAAAAAAATTGAACGAGAAAAAAGTTAAAGTTTCGAAATCACTGTGCGTTTAATTAAAAAAGTTTCAATCGTTGCTTACTATCTTCGAGCGTTCGTGTGATTTTCGAATTCGATGGACGTCCTTTGACAGTTTTATAGAATGGCACCAAAAAGAATTCGTAATCGGCATACGCATCTAAGCCTTCAATCAAGCACGATGATGCGCCACCACCATGTAACACCGTCAACATTTTATATTGATCATTTCGATCGATTTTTCGCGAATAAATGTAAAATCCTTCAACATATTGTGCATTTAAAATTTCCCACACCAATCGAACACTTGACGCATCGGTGGCATTTGCTTCGAGCAATTCAACAACATCGCCAGTTGATAAAATCGCTTGCGCTTCCGTCAGTATTAGATCTTCGTCATAAATAATTGGTTTTCCTGTTGTAACCGGATCGGACATTGAACTTGGCGGTGAAATGCCAAACATATTTTCAGCACGAACAACAAAAATGTAAGTGGCACCGCGCGTTAAATCGCGTTGCATATAAATTGTTTCTGGAATTTTTGAAGCTACTGGTATCCAACCTTTGCTCATATTATTTGAGAATATTTCAACCGAATAGCCGACAATGTCGGCCGCACCAGTTTTTGAGCCTGGCATCCAAGTGATTGTTATACTGTCATCGGTTACATTTACAACATCTGGTTTTGATGGTGGGCCGGGGATTTTTTCTGGTTCTGGAGCACGGAAGAATTTTATATTCGGATTTGTCGGTGTTTCAAGTCGCAAATATCCACTCCATGTCGATTTACCACTTCGTGATGAGGCGACGCAAGTGTATAGACCTTGGTCAGTGTCTTTGTGCAAATCAGACACAGTTAATACACCCGATTCCGTTAAATTAATACGATTCGATGCAACTAATGGTATGCCATCACGATACCAGGAGATAATTGGCGTCGGAACGCCTATCGCAACGCATTCCAAACGTGCAACCGATTTAACAGGTAGCGTTTGATTTACCGGTCCTCGAATTATAATCGGCGGTGGACGATCATCTTGTGAACTTATCGATAGTTTTGCACGTGCACTTATCGAACCAACGGCATTCAATGCATTACAAATTACCACTAATCCGCTCTCAGAGCGCTTAGCTTGGCTTATGGTCAATACCGAAAGCCCTTCAATCGATGACGATGCATTGAGTGTGCCCATCGACATGCCCGGAAATATAATCGAACGATTTCCTTCAATTGACCAGAAAATGGTGGGCGGTGGAAAACCTTTGGCTTTACATTCAAACGATGCATCGCCTTGAGCATCCACCATTTGTGCGGTTGGACGGATGACAAATTTTGGTGCCGCTAAATTTATGTGAAGAAACAATTTCGAATTGAAAAATTAAAACTAAAAATCACGTAGCAGTAAAAGATTCAACATTTTAAACTGACAAAAATAGAGGGAAAATCGAAAAATCGAAAATAATTTGAAATGAATACATACATTGGATGATGAGAGATCCAACAGCTGAAATGGAACCGACAACATTTCTGCAAAGCAAAGAAAAACAAACAAAACATAATGTTTGGTATTATAGAATATTGCGATGGGAACTAGTATCGTATATTCCCCATAAAAATTAATTTTATCGATTCTATGAATACGACATCTGATAAAAAAGATACCGATTTTTGTTACTACTGTTGCTTTGACACGGTACTCAGCACTTTGACACAATATAAAAGAACACACAGACTCCGATCCTGTGTATGCGTATGTATCGTAAATTTTGCACAAGCAGCTACAATTGACGACTGAGTGCAGAATTTGTAATACATACGCATACACAGAATCGGAGTCAGTGTGTTCCTTTGTACGTTTACACGAGCTGTATTAAAACACCACTAGTAACAGAAATCGGCGAGTTTTTTAGTAGATGTCGTATTGGTGGAATCGATAAAGAAAAATCTACGATATTAGCGCTCATTGGAATATTGAATTCTCAAAAAAACTTACTCGGCTTCGCACCTGAAAATTGAGAAAACCAAAAAGAAAATCGAATTAGTGCTTATTTGTGTTACAGGTAAGAATCACAATTTATCATGTGAGAGGTAATATCTATTTAAAAATAAAAATATACACCGGTGTAAATAGTAGATATTCACTAGTAATAGAGATACTTACTGGTATTCACCTTCGTCACTCAAGTTAACATTTTCTAATACCAAACTTCTGTCCTCTAAAACATGCACACGATCCAATGGCATGTTACCTATTTCGATTAAAAGTACAATATTTATTGAAACATTATTTTCACACATAATTATAAAAAAAAAAAAACAGGAAAGAACAACTAGATTAAATTATAAACATAAATTAACTCATGGTTAAGAAAAGCAAATGTCATGAAAACATAATTGAAGTAAACATAAAATCGTTGAAGTAAACAAAAATATTTTCGAAACATGAACATTACCAGCTGCTGCTGTTCGTCGCCATAAAATATCAGGAATTGGTTCTCCACCCACATGGCACTAGATTCACATAAAAAGTAAACAAAGTATGAGAGAAAATACTTTTGAATTTCTTGCGATAACTTTTTAAATTAGTTTCTGTGCATTCTATTGTCTTTACAAAGTTAGAAAAACTTATAGCATACAACTGTTTTCTTCATGTTATGCATTACCTGAAATGTAACCGATGATCCTTCAACAACCGTTTGATCAATGGGTCCTCGAATAATGAATGGTTTTACTAGAAATTGAAATGGCAAAAGAAACGCATATGTGTTCAGTTTCAATATTATCAGCATTTCGCAATTGCACTAACGAATTAAAACATTTTTCGTTGGTATTTTTATTCTAGAAATGAATAAAAGTAGTGGAATGCATTTATTAATGTTCGCATAACTCACCGTGAACGTTGAGTGTAATGACTTTTGATTCACGTACACCGACGACGTTTCGCGCAACGCACTGGTATTCACCTTGGTCTGATTGGCGGGCATCTTGAATGGCTAAATTTCCACCGTCAACGATGCGAATACGTTTCGAATGTTCGATTTCAAGTTTTTGTTGATTTTTTTTCCAAAAAATTTGGGGTTCTGGTATGCCCCTGGGCCCAGCGCATTCGAGCAATGCCACATCACCTAAAGCCACACGAGTATTTTGTGGTTCTAATCGAAATTCATCACGAAGCACTGTGTATTCGAAAAAGAGAGAAAACGAAAAATACACGAAAAACAATGGCAAGAAGGAGAAAAAAAAGAGAAACGAGAAAAAATTGTAATCCAGAGCAATTGAGTTCAACAACTACTACAGAATGTGCTGTTGCTTTTTTTGTGTGTATTAATGTGCAGTGCGAGTGAAGGAGAGAGAGAGAAAAGATGGTGATTGGGGGAACAGAAGAGGATTGGGGTGTTCAAAATTGCAATGGTAAAGTGTTACAGTGTAAAAGAAATTGAGAGCAATAAATCTACGGAAAATTTACGACGAAATGGAAAAAGCGAAGGAACGTGAATCCATATACCGACACATCATTCATTCGAATGAGCAAGAGAAAGAAGCACACACATACAAATTGTGTATATAGTTTTGTTCGACATGCCTAACGTTTGTATAGTTTTTTATCGTGCGTTTCCAACTAATTTTTTTCGTTGTTGTTGTTCCGTTGCTGCCTCTACGTCTTCTGAAATAATTTTTTTTATCGTTTTTTGTACGATTTTGTTGCATTATCGCCGGTACTAAACGTTTCATTCACATTGAACGTGAGCACATTTTTTATTGAATAAAAAAAAATGTTGAGATATGAAATCAGGCTGTACATAGTTTTCATTTATTTTCCGAGCAGCGTCTCCACCATATAAATATACTAAGCTCGGTATCGTAAGCGCCGGTGTTAATACAACATGGTCTTTTCGAATGTGTCAAAGATAAAAAGAAAAATGAAATGAAAATCATGAATGGTCAGAACGAAGAAAGTACAAAACCGCACATGTTTGTGCCGCGTCGTTGCCGTCATTGTCGTATACCTTTTGTGTATGATTTATATGCCATAGACGGAAATATTAATGCTTCTATCACAATAGTCGGTGACTGGTATTTATTCACGGCAGCATTGTACTCATTTTTCATTACTTTTGTAGTGTTGCCGTGAGTAGACTGGGAGAGCGAACGAAAGAGAGAGAGAGAGCTTTTGTTTAACATTCAATAAAGGTAAAATTGGCCAAGAGCCATTCACAATTATGGTGTGCCACTCTTGAACATTTCATTTTTTTAGTATGTGGCAAATATCTTCTCTTCCTGGCATTCAAGAGCTTTTCTATTGAAATCGAATTTAATTTGCTATTTAAAAGAGGCGAATCTTTGGCCAATATTTCATATTTACAACTTTCGAAAAAGAAAATGAAATGAACATTTTTTTCTCTTGTCCTGGAACAAAAATCCACATAAATCGCTAGGTAACTGTAGTTAAACCATGGAGCTTTGATGCATTCATTCGAGGACAGAATTTGGCTGGACCAAATTTGAAAGCATCGAAACAAGAGTAAAAAAAATAACACAACAAAACCATTTTGTTCATTGTTTTCCCAAAAATCGTTTGTTTGAATTTGAATTGTAAAATTATGCAAATGTATTTCGACCAAAATATCAGTGCATTTTAGTTACCATTTTTTTCGTCGCTCTCACTCTCTTGCTTTTACATTCAATCTCTTATTTTATTTTACATTCTTTTACTATCATTCGACATGGTTTTCGTTCACATTCCTGCTCGTTTGTTTCGTTCGTTTCAAATTCAATCCGAAAATTTAACGTGAAAATTTTCATAAATATTGTTTATATTGTTTGAGTTTTTGTGCAAAACCATGAGCAATGAGTTGTAACTTGTAAGTATCGTTGTCCAGTTTGGTTTATGAACATTCATAAATCGTACCGATGGGTATTTTCTTTTATATATGCGTTGTATTGTGGCATGGCTGTAAATTGTAAAATGGTCTTAAGGGAAACATTTCCTGTGAAAAACCAATTGGAATAAATGTAATTTTTGTTTCTTTTTTTTTATTATTTATTTCAGTTTTCCTCTCGAAAAACTGAAACTCATCGTTGGCCGAGGTTTTGCTGTGACTTTCTTATTCGAAAATGGAATGGTTTTTCAATTTGCATATTTATGTGCAAAAAGGTATTTGCTAAAAAGAGCATTTTCATGCCATCACCTTTGGCAGCCATTTTGACTTCAAGCGGTCAAAATAATAATTTTCCACATTTTTCATTTCTATTGGCTGTCTCTCAGCTCGACAAACGTCCATTTTCCTAAGTCCAAAATTGGATCGTACATTGTGTATGCGAGCGCAAATTCACACATTTCGCTGCATGAATACTGTAATTTATTCAATGCAAAAGCATAAATATGTTATTTTTTTTGCAATAACACACACGCAAAGCAAAATGCCGACGAAATATTTTGAGTGCTTAACCAATTGTAATTACTGGTTGCACAATGCTCAGCATTTACATGGATTCAGCAATATTTTGTCCGGAACATTCATTAAAAACAATATTTTATCGGTGGATGGGGCGAAAAATGAGATAAAACACTATTGTTTCTCTTTGAGTTGTATTTTTCCATGATTTAAATCATTTAATCGGTGTCCCATTCTTGTTATGTCGAAACTGATGGAGGGGACCCGCATCCCAGAATATAATTGCTGCTTTTTGAAAACGTCAACGGAAAAATGACAAATGATCTATGTTTACCACCATGTTACAATAATGAAAAAGTCCACTTTTTCATGTGATTTATAGCCCCTATCAACGACACATACTCACTATATTGTAGAAACTTTTTCAACCGGTGGAAAATGGCAAGAATTATTCGTTCTGTGTTAGGTTATGGCAATGCTGAGACAGAATATATTGCTTGGCGTAAAATTGTCTCTCGTTAGACATTGATTCAATTTTCAGTAACTGAAAATCACTGAATTTGAATAATTTTAAAGCAACGACACAACATTTTTGGCCTAAGGAAAGCTCCCGCACCAGTTTTTTTTGCTCTTTTGCTAATGTACACATTTTTTTCTTCTTTCTAACCCAAAAGGCATACGGCAGCAAAGTTACGACTGAAGCCAATTGAAATGCGGAGAATTTCACCTCTTAAATTATTAATAAACTATTGCAGCGGTAACATTGGATAGCATATTTATGGTGACAACTTTCTCTTGGGATAAAAGTCACACCTCACGACGATTTTCAACCTTTGACTACACTCACACACACACACACACACACACACGCATACTTTTTATTCAGTTCAAGTGCTATCGACATTGTCGCCCGTACCACATCGTCAAGACGGTGCGCGCATGTTGAATCGCAAGTACGTGATGGTTAAGTTTGGTTAAACGACAGTGAATATCGGAACGGGGTATAAATTCGAATCACAAAACGCAATTTACTCGCATCGATTTTATTGGTTATAAAAATTTATTTGAATTTTATTCACATTACATTATGCAAAGGCGTTGCGTCAACACCATTACCGATCGACTCCTTCGGTACGCATTTTATAAAATTATATTGCAGTAAAAGTTACTTTTTCTCACATTGAATTTAAGCACGCACACACTGAATGCCAATTGTAAATGCTCCAAAACAGTCCAATATTGAATACGAAAATGAGAAGAAAAAAATAGAAATCACTGGAATTATGTGCACATTTACAAAAACTATCGATCTTCGCAATGGCCCAACGGCTATGTTTTATGCTTTCCCAAATGCCATTCACTGCAATGTAATGGATATAATAAGCTCACCATTTCGATAATAAAAATGTATAAAAATGCTATCGTGATGATGGTTAAACACTCGGAATGTATTTTGAATATATGCATACTCTTGCATGATAGGATGATGTTGATTTACATCAGACAGTCGAAACCTGTCGACTGGAAATGGATTGCTTTACAATTCTTCCGTCATTGACACATTTTACACAAGCTCATAAGCCGAGTTATATTCCCATGTAGCTGAAAAATTCACCACTTTTTGCAGAGGAAAATCGCAACAGTTCACCAAATAACTCAGCGAATATCAATAAAAATCACTAAATCGTAAACTTCACACGGAAAAACTGAAATTTCATTTTACAATTGAAAAATGTCATTGGTGTGTTTCTTTATTTAGTAACATAAGTTTTCTACCACAACAATAAAGAAAATTCTTTCGATTTCTCTTGGATGAATGCGAAATTCTTGGTCGATTGACGACATCGATCTCGGGATTACTTCTGTTTGGTTTTTAAAACAGCTGAAACGGTATATAGTTGTAAGTTTGTAGTCAATCGCATTTATCTACCTTCCGGTTCCTTTTTTGTATTTACATCTTGATTCCGAATATTGTACACCGTCGGTGTGTAATGTCGATTTCTTGAGGTTTCACTTCGTTCAGTCTGTTTTGCATAAGTACGGTTTTTTTGGATTCGATCTGCAATTTCAGATGTTCAAATCCATTCATAAACGCATATTTTATTTTATTGGCATCGTTTGTATTATGTGTATGTATAGATGTATATTTACATTGCACATGTGGTGAACACTGAACATACCTTAGTGGCAGTGGAATGAGCACAATTCACATTTTATACATATTTATTTGTGTTGAGCTCATCGATATTTATCGGGAATAAGTATGAAAAGCCCGAGAACTCTATCCGTTTTACTTTTCCCTTTCACTTGTTCCGTTTTTAGGCGTGCGTTCAACAGACTGTACAAAGCGAAAGTGGAATCAATTGAGGCAAAATCTGCACCCACACACCAAAAAAAAAAAACAAAAGAAATAAAATAATGTAGTCGATATATTGGTGAATATATACAAAAAAAAAGTAAAAATCGAAGCGAGGAGTCGATTCGATTTGAAACGGTTGAGTGAACAGCAACGGCATTGACGGCAAAAGTAGTACCGGAACAGTAAAGCAGCAACAGTAACCACAGCAATAACAAATCCAATCGACATTCGCAATCCGAATATTGTCGATTTCGAATACACATTTATTTACTTTAATAAAAATCCCAACTGAAATCGATGGAAAACGCGTGAGTACCGATTGAGCACAGAGCAAAATATATATATGCATGTATATATGACATCGTCATGGTTTATGGCGTATTTGTGAGCAGGATTTGCAATTTTTGTATGTGATGCCCATAAAATTGTTGATTTTTTTTCTGCATCGCTCGTGGATGCCATGCGAGGGAAGAATACATTGAATGAGAGACAGTGGCATTGTGGTTGCCTTATACAAAGGCAGCCGCATTCTCACGTATTTTGACAATATATCAATGGCTAGTTTAATTTGAATCTAAAGCCATTCTATTCTTTTTATTTCTTTTTTTGTTCAAAACAATTTTTTTTTTTATTTTGTTTGCAGTGGTTTCACATTCACATTTTTCGACCGTTGCAACAATGTGCGGTGGACGAGTGGGTGAGGTATTGTCTGCGAATGCAGTATTTATATTCGATTCAGGGTGTTCAGGTGCTAAAATAAAATGTGCATTTAATACGTCGACTCGTTGCAAATATAAAATTTTTATTTCTCTAGCTTCGGTCTCCCGTCAAAAATGCGGGTACCAAGTTATTGGAATGAAAGGGGGGCGAAAATAAAAACAAATAAAAAATAACAAAGACAAGAAAAACACCATTTCACGTTCCGACCATAAAACGTCTGTTGCAAATGACTTTGAGCAAATGAAGGAAATCAACGAACAAAAATTATTCCGATTAAAATATTGTCTTTAAAACATTTAATATTTGAACGGTTTGTGTGCGGAATATTTAGATTGTACCATCGTCATCCCTAAGCGTCGACACAAAAAACAACCATTTAAATGTTATAAAATAGATGCTCGCCGGCACATATTTTCCATTTGCTATACTAATGACAATAAAACGATTCCACCATCCCCTCAAAAAAACCCAAACACAACGAACCATTTCGGAAACTTTCATTGTTTGAGTGAAAACTCTTTCGGCTTTGTCTCGCTCTCTCACCCACTCTTTTCGAATTTTGCGTCTTCGTCGGAATGAACAACTCCAAACTGAAAATGGTTTCCCTTTTTGCCATGCGATTCAGTTGTAACATAAACATTTGCCGTTTGCATATAAACTGTGCGTAATTAAAATGATGTAACCGAATGTAGCAAAAGCGCGTATGCAAAGTTTGAGACGATAAAGTAGACAGTGAGTGTGTATGAGATACACCCAGAAATGAAGAGAGAGAATATGGAATGTTGTATCGCATATAGCATCTTACGACGTTTGCATCGTTTATCCGCTCGAATGCATCAAAATTAATTAATGCAATAAAGGCGCGCGAGCGCTCACGCAAATGCTTGGATTTTGAATTTTACATTCGTTAAATGGTTTTTCTTTCTCTCCATCTTCCTCACTTTACATCTATCTCATTTTGTGTATCACTCTCTTGCTTTCTGGTGACATCATCGGGGAAGGAGACTCGATACAAAGTTGGGCTTATCTATTTCGCGTGTAAACGATTCGACTTTGGATGGAAAATATGCTAAAAACCTATTTCCTCAACAATTATTAAAGGTGTTCGCATAAAACATCGTTGTCAATACACAGAGATCCATTCATACGTGGATGTCTATCTATCCTTCTGGCTTGTTACAATTACATCTATATACTTGAAACTATTTTGCGACGCGAAACCTTAGCGAAACAATGAATGTGACTCAATTGACTACATGAATTTCATTCATTTCGAAAACGACGACGACGATCTATCTGTAAATACAGAAGAATGCGCTCAGATATGTGTGGGCTTGTGTGTTTAGCGTGTTTCATGGTAAATGAACGCTAGTTGCATTAAGTATTTCATTATTACGATGATAAAACTGTTCGCAGCGCATATCTCGTTGAGATCGCATCGAGTTAGAAAGTAAATATACATGACGAGATGGCAAAACGGAAAATCCTTAATCGTTATCTGTATAAAATATACGCTTGAAACGGCACACATACTCGCAAATGCTTTTAATCGTTTCATTTCTCGTGTTTGTGTGCGTGTTTCGCCGCCAAGGAATCGTGGTATGTGTATATGTGCAACAAACTTTATGCACACATATTTCGTCATGTGTAACAAAAGCGAGTAACATTATACAATCAACTCGGTCTAAATTGAACGGTAGATATAGCCGAGGCTCTTTCGATAAACACACAATTGTGAGGTGAGAGTATATTTTTGTCGAGATGTGCGAAAATACCATGCACATTGATGCTTGCATGCCTCTTCACTTCACGTTCATATTCAATGTGTATCGTACAGTTAATCTAGTTACCTTTCTCAAATAACATACACACACCCATGCGACGTTGTTGCCATTACGGAAACTCACTTATTTATGGATGGAACACTAACGATTTATCTGTTATTTATGCGACTCTTAATCATTCTTCAAAATTTAGTTGTAACATCATCAACCCAATTCACAACGACAACGAGAGAGAAAGAGGCAGAGAGAGAGAGAGAGAAAAAAAGAGAAATAGAGCTAAAAATGCGGCCGTAAAAACGCATCTTAAAGCTTCCAAAATGTGAATTCAAGATTAAAAATTAATGCTGTTCATGAGTGCATAAAAGCGACCCTATATTAACTCCAAACAAAAAATGGAGAAATATTCGTTTAATATACACAGTCATCTTGGCTAATGTAACTCTCAATTCTGTGTTTGTGTAAGTGTGTTTGTCTGTAGGATATGTCATGTGTTTTGGCTAAAAAAAGTTATTAAACGGTATGGAAAGTGAGACAGGAAAAAAAAACTGTGTGTGCGGTACAAAAACAAAAGTTATGCCGAAAGTGAGAGAAATGAAGAGTCAACTTACCTGCTACTTGTAGTGTAGCATTTCTGCTTCGTGCAATTCCCCAGTCGTTCTGAAAAACGATGATGATGAAAAGAATTGGTGAAATAAGGGTATGTCATGGTTAAATTCTGAAACAGAATGTACTTACCTCAGCAATACAATGGTATATCCCAGCATCACTGTCCCGACGCGAATGTACCACCTGCAGAACGAAAACATAGAAAACGATTGAGAACGTGAAGAAAAAAAAAACAAACCCGGAATAGCATCGCGCTTGTTCGCGTTAAATACACTAACACTCGAAATATACACGCTTGTGCCATATAATGACAACGAAACAAAATTATACCCAGCACTTTTTTTTCTATCTCTCTCGTTTCATTCATCCATTCAGTCATTGCTTGCTTAACCGTTGCCGTGTTTGAGGCAACACATTGCAATCAAAATACGACAAACTGATTTGGTATGAGAGAGGTTGTTAAAAAGGATAGCTTAATGTACCGAACGTATCAACAATCAACTGACGACGACGACGACAAAGACTACGGCTGAATATTCGCTTTAAATTTTACCATGTAGTTTATTTAGCGTAAATGTATTTTCTATTTAGCAAAAGAGACATATACATATACCAGTGTTCGTGGTAAAATTCACTTGCATCGTCCATTAATATGTAGTCGGTGTGTTTTGTGTCATAGTGCAAAAATTGAAGCGCACAATGTGTGTGCGGGTGCACTGGCTGGCCTAACGCGATCTAGAGGGAAGCAATATCGTTATACGAGCGACAGTAAAATGAGGATTGATATTGGATAATGTGTGCATTAAGTAACACATACAAAACGTGTACAGATTTAAAAGGTATATTTATGTATTTTTTAATTGCTCTCGCTGCTTTTCGACCTGCCAACCGGTAGCAGCCAATCGTTGTTGATGGCTGTTTTTTTTTGCTGTGCTCCCTTTTAGCTATTTCGTCCGAATGCAAATGTGCTTCTATCATGAGGTTTTTTAGTTTTTTTTTTCTTCTGGACATTTATTTACACCGGTGACATGCAGAAATGGCTACTGTCGCATATTGCATCAACATTTTAACGATCATCGCATCGCATTCAACATGATGACGACAGCAACATCGGCTGAATACGAACGACATAATTTATTTTATTGCACGTGGCCATTCATTTAAGCACCGAAGGATATCAAAAATGTTACTTTTTCTCAATGACTTTTATGTCGGTGCATCATATAGAAAAGTTTTTTTTTTTCTCGCAACGTTGTAAAAAAAAAGTTAATGAAACATTCAATGCATTTTCAATTCAGACTTTTGCATGGAAATACATATTTTTCTTTCCAAAAAAAACACAGCAACATTATAACGGCAGACGATGGGTTTAATTGTAAATCATAATGATTTTATGGTATTTGACCAGCTGTCACGCTAAGTTTGCAAACAAGATTGATCATAAATTTACTTTTTTATGATTTTCTTGAATAAAACTAATTATTTTGTGACTCATTTGTTTTTCTAAAGCTCGAAAGGTTCAATTAAATATTTCTTCGTTTGAATTTTTACATTCTCGCTTATTTTCCTTTCGTTGGATTCGTTGCTAATGAAATAGCATTGGACGTTGCGCATTGAATTCAATTGGAATAAAAGTAAATTCCGGGTTCACCAATGAAATGAACGAACAAATAAGCATACGAACAAACGAAATATGCTTAACAACCGGATATCCATTTCAATATCTGGATGGAAAATCCTAAACAAATTCCAATTTCACTAATATTGTTTTTATGTGTAAAAAAAATTTACCTTTAGGAAAAATAGCGCGCCGGATGGGAGTAGAACACGATGTGAACCGGGTGCTATATTAACCGGATTGCCGTCCTTAAACCATCGAATGATTGGTATCGGAGCACCTTCCGCTTTGCAATTCAATGTAACTAAAAATGTTCAAAACAGTTAATATATTTCTGCGAAAAAAAAACATGTATTAATGAAAACGAACCTGGATCATGTCGTGGTACAGTCGTATCAATTGGGTGCTCTGTTATTCTTGGTATTTGTAAACCTGAAAAATACACACAGAAATAAATTGAGATGAATAAAAATTGCGCAAATTTAAATTTGTTTTGATTATAAGAAAACATCAAACATGGTCTCGAATGAAATGTCGAGCGATGCATCAAAAGTCCGAACAAATAAACACAAACATGAATAATTAAATAAAGTTAAAAACAACAAAGGAACACTTTTCACCGCATGTTTGTTTGCATTGGTTGTGGCAGTACTCGGTAGTACTGAGTACACATAACATTTTATGTAGATTGACGGTCGACTTCGATTTGCAACATGCATTTCACGGAATTTATGGCACCCTCTTTTTTCCACAATCAACTCACGCAAATATTTTTTTTTATGCTATCTCTTTGTATCGAGCTAAATTTTTCCACTTCAATTTAAAAGTCGTAGATTGTTTTATACAAATCTTTCGAAAACACGAAAGTAATTACGCACATTGTAAAAGCGGTGGCCGTCTGAATACATTGTAAATACAAAATACCCATGGCCTTTTCAGTTAATCACATGAAAAAGGGTACATGTAACATTCCGGCAGTAATAAAAAAAATAACCAAATGTGAAAATGCCGGTGGAAATCAACTTTAGCCATTCTGTGTCGAATTGGTGAAGCGAAAAATCCAACATGAATATGTGATACGTGCGTTTACAGTTTTTATTTGGCCATTTGGACAGCTGTCCGTTGTGTTGATGAAATCCATTTGGTCAAATCATAAAAAACCATAACGCTCATCATTTTGGATTGGTCTATTATAAACGTTTGGAATTGTGTTCACTTTCGATGCACATGTATACATATACCCGACTTAATAATCACAAAACATTGATGCAACTATGTTAACATGAGGTCGTACAAGCGAACAGAGCACCGAGAGAGAGAGAGAGAGAAGAATGAAGTGGAATGGGTGGCACAGAAAAAATGAGCAAGAAATATTAAAATTACAACGTACTTAAAATTGGCCATTCCGTGTAACAAATGTTGCATGGAAAAACCGCTTTACCATTCGTCGGGGAATAAACCAAACCAAACTTACGAGAGAAAATGGGCGAAAAAACACCATACAATAAATTTCGCTTTGGAGAATGCTTGAGCATTTTTTTTCTTCTCTTGTGTCATGTTCATTGTGTGCAAGAATGGTGCTCATGTTCATTGTTTTATGTTGTTTCGTTAACAACATCATGATTTGCACAGTTCCAACACTCATTTGGATATCGAAAGCGAACGAATGAAAGAGAAACAAGGAAACCAACTGAAAGCATGAAAAGGAAATAAAAGGATAGATTTGAAGCTACCCGAAAAAGGACTGTTCTTTTTGAAAATGTATAAATTTGTCTGGCCATGTTTTCCTTATTCTTTTTATTGTTATCTTTTGTGTCTCGTACTGCTAATTACATCTCTGTTTTGTTTCACAGTATCTCTGAATATGCTCTCATTCTATCCTGTTCTCAACCGTAAATGTGAAATTATACCATCGTCGGGTTGATATGTTACCATAAAATAAGAACCATTGCCCAACACACATGCATATATTCCCTGATAGCTGAACATTGTTCATTGTTTGAATTTGGGAATGCCAATAATAAAGCGCATTTACACAAGAAGATGTGCAGATGGAGAAAGTGAAAGAGAGGGGGAGAGAGAGAGAGAGAGAGAGAGAACAATGGCGAGAGCGAAAGGAAGTAGCAAATGCGTTTTAAAATAATTTTCCATATAATTTTTGGAATTGTGCAAGTGCTGTCCAAAAAAGCCGAATTGGTCGAAGCGAAAACAATGAATCAGATGGGAATAAGCTGGCGTTGGCATGATCATGTCGGTTGTTTACACAGACATTACACACATTCATTTTTATTTTTATTGCGTGTGCTACTGCTGCCGCCGCTGCTGCTGCCCATGTTTGTCGTTCTCATTGTATTCAAAGTGTATGTTATTTTATACAGGACTGTGTACTCGCAAGAGAATCTCAAAATGTGCCATCATTTGGAAAATTTTCTACACACATAAACTCGCTCGCCTCGTCGAAAATTGACTGAATTTATAATTTCACAAAATATATAGTTGGATCTAATTTTCCATTGTATTTTAAACCATTTTCAACTTGAAATAGAGCCATTTGTAAAGTAAAAGCTGCAAATACATATCCGCTTTTAATTGAAAACGTTTTTTTCCACTTTCTCCATTCATTTCGTAAAACTAAAATAACAGCGCTCTCCCCATCATTTTAAATGTAAAATGTGGGGTGTGAGAAAATGTGTTTTATGCTATTGATTTCCGATGTGCCTACGCTTTTCCTTTGTACATCTACTTAATGACTTAATTCATATATAGCTTCGAACACATTTTATGTGCCACTCAATGACTATGCACATTTTAACGCTTAATTTTGATTATAAAGCAAAATTCGTTCAATGCCCCAGGAAACTTACTACGAAATCTATTTTGAGGTGAAAATACAACCGTTCATTTTCGAACGGTTGCCGTTAATTTTTCCATTTGGCACTTTGATAAATTCAATCGGAGCAACGGAGACGCCGTCACCGTGTATGACTTTCGTAAATAAATAATGGATAGACTACATTAGAAATGATGTGAAATCATAATTTATAGAAAGAATTTTCTCTCTGTGTTTAAAGCAGGAGTCATTTGTTTGTACACTGTCTCCATTTTTTTTCATTCATGATTATAATATGATTATCCATATTAATTTAACATCAACGTCAAATATAAAGTCTGACGATGAGAAAGAAAAACAACTTAATTTTCATTGCAACATGCACTCAAATAAAGAAAAAACGAAGCAAGCTTAAGTACAATCGTATCGCTTTGAAAAAAAAAACAACAACACGTTCGATGGATGTAAAAAATGCTGCAATTACGAGAATTGAATGCGTGATTAAGGTACAAAATATAATGGCAAAAACAGAACAACTAATGAAATTCGCATTCTTTTCGCTCTATCTCACTATGATCGCCTGCTTTTTTCTCATATTCTCTCCCTAGCTCTCTCTCTGTCGGTCGGTGGCCAGCTGGCTAGTCAAGTCGGAAAAATGTAGTTTGCAATTTGATTATTTTTTTAAAAAATAAAACATACTAATTAAGCTGAAAGGAAAAACGACAGCATGGCCAAACTTTATATGTTCATATAAATGCTGTATAAATGTTGGTTGGAAAAGTAACAAATTGAAAGAGTGGGAAATCGGAACCGAGAGAAAGGGATAGAGACCAATGAACATGGATTAAATGCAACGGTTTTTCGGTTTGTGTGTTTCTCTCTCTTCAATTCATGGAATTAAATTAATTTCGAGTTTGCGAAAAGTAAACTCGGGCTTAATTTCGTTGACCGAACCGATTTCGATAAAGCGTACACATAAATAAGCGAGTGATATTTTACAAGCTCGAATTGGTTTCCATGAAGCGGAAACGTTTAGGTTTCATGCAAGGCACAATAATCTAAAAGGCAATGATTCTCGAATTGCTTAAAATCTGGAGAAAAAAAATGTTCGTCATTTATTTACACAGACTCACACGCCCTGGTATCGAGTTGCGAGCATAAAATTGCCGCTTACGCTGTAATCAGACGTATCAGTATGGATATCGTGCAAATAACCACAATTTTATGCTGCATCGTTGTTATTTTTTTTTCTTCTTTTTTTATTTCGTTGTGTAACCATCAATTGCTTTGTATCGACGTAAAATCGTAAGCACGAAAGCCAGCGAATCAGAATATAAAATCAAGCGAAGAAATGTTTAGACCGTCATTCGGTTGGTTGTCAATAAAAAGGATTGCAAATTATTTTAGTTAGTTTGTTGGTTTTCGCTTTTCTCTAAGCGATTATTTGCGTTTCATGATTACTTATTTATGGTTTTACCGCCATTCAATTTACAGCATATTGCCAAAGTATGCCAATTTATCGTGCGCACAATTCTCTCTGCTTCGCTTCGAAGTATATTGAATTCATTAAGTAAAAGTTAAGGTTTTGCAATTGAATTTTGTGGAGACATTTTGACACAGGATATGTATCACAGCATGAACAGCATTTAGTGTTCGCAAAACCGTCAAATAAAAAGCCAAAGTTATATTGTGATTTCCATTTTCGCTTAGAGATACATCTATATAGCTGCGAATTAACTCGACAGTTTCGTATATTTTTCCGGATAATTGAATTACCTAGATCATTGACGGGACAATATATTTTGACGTCATTCAAACCGACTAAAATGGTTTAAAAGGAAGTTATTTTTCACTTACTTTGTAATCCATTTTGGTTTCGAGCAATGTCATTAAGTTAATCAATATGTGTCAGCGTGGTCATATCAATTTATCTAAGTCAAATGACCAAAATTGGAAAGTTGATTCGCTTGAAGAAAATTACCAACACAAAAATTGAGGTCACCAAACGCAATCACAACAAATCACTTTCGGAATATAGCCAGAATTGATTTTGTCATCGCCAAGAGAAAGAGGTTGAGATTGCGAGTTTGAAACGAAATAATCAGGCAAACAATCCGCATGACACTATTAACGTATTGAATGGCACAGAAATGATACCATTGAAAAGTTTCGCTTAATCGAATTACAATGTGAAAGGTTAGGAAACGCATAACATTTCGATTTCTCACATTGGAACCTTAATAACCGTAATCCATTGCAGGAAAAAAAAAAAAGCGAAAACGAAAATAAAGTTCTACTCCGTGAATGGACGACTTTTATTTGACACTAAGTAACCAATAAAGATAAGAGAAAAGCATTCGATATCACGAAATGCTAACGCAAAAGGGTTCGAATTGACCTATTTCATAGGAAAGCATTTGTCATTCGTTTAGAGAATCACTGACACAGGCAAAGGCTCACTGTTTAAAGTAAATGACAAAAAGTTCATTTCAAGCGAGATTCGACATATTGGCATGTCCATTCATTTATTCACAGAAAATTGGATTGACGGGCACTCTGTTCAAGCTTTTCAAATAGAGATTAATTTTGCTGCATTTTCGAAGATACATTTGCGATTCATTGGGATAGATAATTCGCAAAAATTTCAATTTACAATGCTGCAAATTAACCTCTGATAGTCTATAGCAGTTGGAATGTGTTCAAAACTGTCAGTCATCTGTCAAGGGCTAATTTCAGCGCTATACAATGGCGATATTCTTTGAATTAATAATAACTGAATCATGAATTTTGCTAAAGATAAATCATCGGCTGATCGAGTGATTCGCTGACTTTGAATAATGCGCTGATAATTTTCTCCAATTTGTTGTGGCTTTTCGACTACAATGAATTTGAAATTCGGAACATTCAATTTGGAAGCGCAATAGTGTTGATTAACGTCATAGTTTTTATATGAGATAAATATTTTGAAATTATTTCGTAAACAGTACGTCAATGGAATTCCTATCCATGGACAATTCAGACATTGTTTTGATCATTGTTTACCATTGAACTGGAACAAATATTTTTATAGTTTACCTGAATACAATTATTCATTAAAATTTATGAAATACGAAAGTAAATATAACTGTCTGGGAATTTCGCAGCTTTATTAAAACGCAATATAGTATCTTACCAGCATAAACATACATCTGGAAATAATTTACCAATTTGTTGGACTTTTGAGTTGTATTTACCCACCTGAAAAAAAAACAAAAGTTTTTGTTAGACATTTATTTACAAAAAAATATAGAAAAAAATATATCAATTGTTAAATTAAATAATTAATATGTGAATTTTTGTATAATTTTTCATCTAATTATTATATTCGTCATAAAGCTTACAGTGCGTAATCGTGTTAATCATAACAGGTATTTGAATTCTAAATATCAATTGTATGACGTCAATTTGAATTCGAAATTTCAATAATGTTTCTGCATATTTCGCTAATTTACGTCAATGTGAGTGCAAAAGTTGTATTTATTTAGCCTTGTTTTGATACATTGAGTTTAGTTTACGTCGTATCACATTCAGCTGAAAACAATGAAGCAATTTTTATTTCTCACAATTTTGTCAGTCTCGCTATTCGCTCAGGTAATAATTTCAAAAAAAAAATATAGTTAAAATTTAAAATGTTGATTTTTCCTTTATTCAGGTGACCGTTAGTGAAGAATTGACGTTCTCTGACTTGCTCAATAAATTTTACACTAAAGTTGCGGAAAAGAAGATCAAATTAAAAGTTAATTTGGATTTTATAGCCAAGATCTCCAATATCGGTGACATTTGTAGCGATAAAGCTAAGCTACACAATCCAGATGGATTTATTACATTCCAAAAAATGGAGGAAGTACTGAAAAAGGTGCCAAAGAATAAAAAAATCAACGGAATCGATGCTCAAAAATTTTTGTATCAAGAAATCATGTCAATTAATCAAACGCAGACATCAAAGATGTCATTTTCAAATCTTAATATTTGTGGTGGAATTGAATTCAAAATTCAAACTGAATACGACAAATTTTTTGAAGAATCCTATGAACAATGGAATAAAGATCCTATTAAATCAGATCTTGTCGAACGTGTTGAAAATGCAGCAGCTTCCATGGAATCAGGTTACAAAGCATTCCAGTTTAAATTCGATGCTGATATGAAATCAGCCGAAGATTTAAGAAAAACCATTCAAACAGATTTGAATGCAGTGAAATCATTGTTTGAAGAACTTTTAAATTCAAAACCAGCACAAGCCACTAAAATATTTGACAAAGTGAAACCTTTAATACTTAGAATAACTACACAACAATTACAATTAATAGCACTTCTTAAAAAAGTCTCAGATCTTTTACAACAGTATAACATAGAACGAGTAAAATGGGCTGATGTAATAGTGGGGATCCGAAAAGCGCCAACAGCGCCACGAAAGCAATTATTGAAAGTTTTTTATAGACATCTTTCAAAAGAAATTCGGGAAGATGCCTTAAAATGTATTTGTGGAACTAATTATATAAATAAAAGATCTCCTTAAAATTATGTATTTTTTGAATTTTTAAGCCATATCCCAAGTATTTTAATTTATATATAGTAAATACGATTGTATGAAGATTTATTTCAAAATAAATGCAACTTAATCATCATGATTTCTATTTTTTAGATAGTTTGTTCCAAACTAACTGATTGACGTAAGCAATATGTTGAAACCAGTGATGGTTTTTTGCTGTTTGAATACCGCAGCGTGTGTACAGCATTGCTGATTCGATGCGTTCGCCGCATACCGCACGCGGAACACATTGATGAATAAGATGAAAACAACTTCAAACAAAAAATGTTTTTCAGACTCCAATTCCTTTTTAAAATGTTATTTATTTCAAAAAAATGATTCTTTCATAATGCCTTCATATCTTAAATTCTAACAGCTGATATTTCAGCTCAAAATTTTCTTTAGAATTTCAAACCTCCAACGTGGCTCAAGATTCGTCGACAAAAATCAACACAACATTATCTTGGCATGATAAATATTTTATGCCGATTTTATTATACTGTGAACAATTTATTATTTGATTCAAAACATCTGCTGGGCGTGTCACATAAAATGCGATGAATTTTAATATGACGCAAGAGGACATTTATCGCCAGCCCGACAATTTCGAAAAGTATTGCTGAAATATAAGCATTGATTCCGCATTTAATAAAGCCCATTGTAAAAATCAAACTTTTTTCAAATTGTAGCTATAGACTTGTTATTTTAAACATTTCGAAGAACAATTAGTGCTTGTATTCTGAGCTTCCGATATAAAGCCGGTATGAGAAACACTTCTTCATGTCCACAATCTAAATTTTTTAAATCACGATAAGCACAACTTTTGCAAAAACGCCAAAGACACGATTTGCAAAAAATAAAATCCAAAATAGTCGGGCTGGTGAAAAATAGTCGACATAACAATGTTAATTTTATTATAAAATCAATATAATTATAGATTCGGAATGTATTTTTTTCACGTGTGCACATTAATTTGTTCATGAAGAAACCCTCTGTATATAAAAGGACCCGTGGCAATCAATAGATTAGAGAACATTCCCTAGAATAGTTGTAGACAGTTTCTATTCAAATTAAAATGAAGCCGTTTTTCTTTTTGATCATATTTTTGCTGATACCTTTGGTCTGCTGTGGTCGTTCGGTAAGACATTTCACGAAAAGAATATTTTGAAAAGTCTAAATATTTTACTTGTATATTTTATTTATTTAGGACACGTTTTTTGCCGAAGAAGACTTGAAAGATGGCCTGACGTTCGCTTTAGTTGTAAAGTGTTTTTATGCTAAATTGGCGAAAAAGGGTCTCAAAATTGAACCTGATCGGTTGAATTTCTTACTCAAAATTACGGATAATATCGATGAAATTAAAAAACAAGCCGACGAACCACTGAAAACATTTCTAGATGAAGCGAAAATTGACGAGATAACGAACAAAGTACCAGATAGTATGAACATTAATGGAACCAATGCGCGTAAATATTTGCGTGAAAAAATCGAGTCAATCAACATAGGTGAAACAATAAATATGGAGATAGAAAACTACGATATATCGGCCAGAATTATGAAATCACCACATCAAA